ATTCAATCAGGAGGAACTGATCCTAATTTTCTGATATCAGTTAATAATTTAGAAAGATATTACAAAAAGAATCATCCTATTGGAAAAGAAGAAATGCCTGATAAATTGACTATGAATTTAGAAGAAAGAGGGCCTATTACATAAAATCCTATATTTTAATATTTACCTTAAACTTTTTAAAAAGAGATTTTAGAGTTGGAAAATCAAGTTTAGATTTAGAGAGAAGCAGATAGAAGAAATCCAAATTTAAATAAGGAATTATTGAGAGGAGAATCAATTGATGTAGATGATTCTAGTAAGGCTGATGAGATGATGTTAGAAAATTTAAGATAATAAGAAATTAGTATATTATTAACAGATAATATGACTGAAGAGAATAAAAAGAAATATGATGAAATATAAAGATTAAAATAAATATATGAATAAAGATATTTGGAAAAGAAAGTATAAGAATAATTAGAATTGAAATAAGTTGAAGAAGATGTTTTAAATTTTAAAGGGAGACCATAAGATAAATTAAATTATTTATAATATCTTTAAGGTTAAATAGGTACAATGCCATTACATTATGATCCTGATGGAGGATTTATTGTTAGATTAGATTTTGTTAATAAATTACCTATAATTTATGAAAATGTTAAGATTAGTTATGGATTATTTATTAGAAAGTAATTTTTATTTAATAACTTAGTTTAGATGATCCTCATACAACAAAAACAACTTAGTAACATGAATGTACTTAAGAAAATATATTCTAAAAGAAATGTATAATATAGGAAAGATTTATTGAAAGAAATCATGAAATATATAAGGATACATATCTTTATCTTATTTTATGGTGTTATAATTAAGAGTATGGTAATGGTGCAGTACCAATCTAAGTAGGTTGGACTCTACATAAAGTATTTGATGAAGAGAATTTAATATCAGGATGTTTTTTATTACCTTTCTATAATACTTCATTTACATATGATTTATATAAATAAGTGGAAATTTAAGAAATCAAATTAGGTCTAAGAATTAGTATGCCTGGTGATGCAGTGTTAGATTTAGACACTAAAATAATTAATATAGTAGATTATAAATTATAGCCTTTACATTAAAAATAATAAGATGTTATTGATCTAGAAAAATAATTTAAATTTAAAGAATATAGAGTATTCCCTATTCCAAAAGAATTCTTAAATATGCAATGCAATAATCCTTCATTATGGAAATCAGAACTTCCTCCTAATGTGTACAAATTAATGGACTTTGGTTTCTTAAATGAATAATAGGCAGCACTTAAATAACAATAATTAGAATATAATGAAAGATAATAAAATCGTTTAAATAGACCAAATAGAAGACTCTTTGGAAAACAAGGTACAGCAATAAGAGGATTACCTGATAAAAAAAGAACAGTACTAACATTTAAGTAGAGATTAGCATTAAAGAAAGGAACAGTAACACCTAATACAAATAAATCAAAGTCAAGAGATAAAGAACCAACTTAAAGACCTGATAGTAAAGCTGATACTTCAAGATAAAAAATAACAGAAGGTAGAAGTGCTTAAAGAGTTTAAGAGAAAGAAAAAAGCACTATAATGTCTACTAAACCAAGGAAATTAATCTTTAAATTAAGATCATTATCTTAATTACATGCTGGATCTATTACATCATTTTATTTGAAATTAGCTTTATTCTAAAATATTAAATTAATTGAAGATGACTCTAAAAATATGTGTGTATTTAATAAAGAATTAGAACCTGATGAAAAAGGTGATAATTATTTTAATTATACTGAAACTTTTACTTTTGATTTAAATCTAACAAACTATTTTCAAGAATAAAATTAAGAAGACATCTTAAATACTTATTTATTTATGGCTGTATTCAAAGATAAATTAGATTTATTTGGTTGGCATGCCTTGTAAGTATTTGATTTTACAGATAATCAATATAAAATAAATAGTGGCATCTATTCTGAAAATCTATATGGACCTCCAGGTTAAGCACCTCCTTTTAATTTAAATAGAACCAAAAGAACTAATAATTAAATTAATTTTATTATTATGTAAGATGATGATAGAGTTCTTTAATTACCTACTTATGATAATTATAAACTTGATTAAAAATGTAAATTATTATTATTTAATTATTATTAGTATTAACAGAAGAAGATAGAGAATAAAAAAAGAAACTCTATAGTGTTGCTAATCCTAAATGGAACACTTAAATTAGATTGGACATTACTCTTTTAAAAAACTTTTCTTAAAAAGAAGATTTTATTATGAAAACATTTGTTATAGAAGGAGAGAATATTATTATAGATGTTTTGGATAGACAATGTATTAGACATGATAATATTGAATTATTTGATGGATAAGGCAAAGGAGAAATGATTGTCAACCATACTATAATCCTACGTATTGGTACAAGATATTTAATTGATACATTTACATAAACATATAAGAAATTAGCTTATTTATTTAATTTTATTCAAAAAAATGAAATAATTGGTAGTTGTCAAATGAATTTATTTACAAGTAGTGGTACATTAAATATTGGATAATAAAGTATATTTGTTCATGATCTGGATGCAAGTGGGAAAATTGGTAAAAAAACAAATAAATAAATGTACTTTTTTATTCAAGAAGAAAACTTAAATTTAATTGATATAGAGGAAACACCAAAATATGCTTAACATATCAAAGATAAATAATAAAATCTTTAATTTGATTAAAATAAAGGATTAGTCATTTAAATTGATTATTTAAATGATTATGTAAATTAAAAACCAGTTGATTTTACAATTTAAATATATAATGGTAATGAACCAGCAATTGATGAAGATGGAGTTATATGTGCTTATACTAGTTCTAAAAAATATTAACCATCTTCTAATTAAAGTGTTACAATAAATGGATTTGCATATTTTAAATTACCACTCACTTAATTATTACATAAAAAAGTAGAATTAGACAAATTTTATGTATTCATTTCATTTCAAGATCTAGGATGGATAAGTTTCTAATTATTTTTGAATGGACAACTTAATAGTTCAGAATTTGTTGGTAAATTATATCAAGGTGAAGTACCTGCTCCTCCTGTTGATTATACTTCTATTAAAAAAATAAATACAAAGATTTCTTATTCTGTTAGATTTGATTATAAACCAATTGAAGAACATAATGATGATGAAATTTAAGAAAGTCATCCATAAATTAATAAAAGTGGAGCATCAAAAATTTAATAATCTATTCCTAGTGAATAGGTAGCAAAAATAGCATCAAGAAGAACTATGAATTCTACAGAAAATACTGATAAATTAATAATTGTGCTTATTAATGTTAATGGATTTCTAAATCAAGCAGTATTGATAATTAAAGGTCTTTTAATGATGGATAGTAAACCTATTTTAGATAAAAATAATTAAACATGTTCTTTTAAAACTGATAAAGTTAATAATGTACAAAAAGTAGCATTTTTTAATAAAATGAAATTTGCTTTTCTTTTAGATACTACAATATTGAATATGGAAAGTTATTTTTTTATATCTGTATTAGATGAAAATGAAACTGTTATAGCATGGTTTGGAAGAAGACTTGTTTCATCTGTTGGAAAAGTAATTAGAGGATAATAATTTGAATATTTATTTGCACCACCACTTATGAGACCTCCACTTGATAAATCTAAAATAACTACTTTATAGTAGTCAATATAATTTGAAATTAAATGAATAAAATAATTAACTCATTATTATTTACTTATTTTTTATTACAAATAATGTAAAATTAGATTCAATAAAAAGACAATACTAAAATAATTATAATAATTTAAAGATTTGATGTTAATTAGAACATATTTTCTAAATGAATCTCCACAATATTTTATATTTATAATCTGCAGTAGTATAAATATATATTAAATTATAAATATCAGTTTATTGAGATTTAATTTCAATTTTTTCATTTCCTTTTTCTAACTGAATTTAACATTTAAATTTAGTTCTAGATCTTTTTATACAAAATTTATAACTATTATTTGAAATATAAGACTCAAATATAATATTAAAATAAAGAATCAAATAAATGAAGAATAGCCACAATGACTACATTTTTATTAGTAAAAGTAATTCTAATTGCAGCAAACTTAACATTTTTTCAAAAAAGAGAATGATTTTTTTACACTTGATGAGTTTTTTGATAGATCTTCAAGAAATAAGGCTTGAGAAAATAATCCATCTTCATCATCATCATTACTATCTGTTGAACTATGACTACTCCCTCCCATATCTATTTCTTAAAGCTTTATAGTTTCAAGTATTTATAATCCCTAATCAATTTTGTTGGGAATAAATCGAGTTCCTGGCGTATCTCTTGTGCACTACTGACATCTATTACAAATCTTTCTAAATGAATAATTCAAGTTTCTGCATTCAACACAAATCCAATCGCAAGGTTTATTTTACATAGTAAATGATTTCTTTTTGTTTTTTTAATTTTATTATTCCTCTTTCATATTTTTGTTCAATATAAATAATTGAAAATTAATGAAAAAACCGACAATTCTATCTAAACTACTAAAATCTCAATAATTACTTACTTGTAAATTCTCTAATATCTATGATATTGTTAAATATCTCTTAAACACATCTTTTACCACTTTAGACTTTTAAAAACGATTATTCCTTATCAAAGTAAAGGGAAATAAAAGAAATTAATTTTAATTTTTAAATTCTCTTTAAGATCCCTTTTGTTTCATACAAAATTCATATTCATTCAATAATCTTCTAAATAAGTGTCTCTACTATTTAGTTTAGCGATCTAATTTCAAATTTATTATAATTATCCTATAGTAAAATTTAGATCATCATGGAAATTTTTCACCTTAAATTTGTACAAACTTGTCATCTTATAACAATATTTATGACTCTATCTTATCTATATATGTTAGTATAAGATAAAATTCTATATTAGAATAATAATCATTTAATAATAATTTCTGAAGTGATATTTTCATTTACACCCAAACTTATGATCCATACTTGATAGAGCAATACAGAAAGCTTAAACTGGAGTTAGCTGATAAGAAAAATCAAGTACAAATTCTCTATCATTTTTGCCAAATAATAAAACTGGAATATCGCTTCCTCTTTATGTCAAAATGAAATTCTTTATTGAACTTTTAAAAATTCTACCATAAAAATTTAAACCGTAAGATTTATATGAAGCTATCCATTAAGGTTTTCTATTTACTAGTTCAATTACATTATCAAAATTATTGATAATAGAGTTATAGAGTGAATGGTTCTTAAATTCATATAATTATCCAGTAGAAGTTATTGAAGGAATAAATATCTAATTTGTTGAATTTCAATACCTAAATTGAACGTAATTTCTTTTTATAAGGCTAGTAATAGATAACTCCTAACTCCTTTCTTAACTAATTTATATCTTTTGATTTTTTTGATGTTTTTCCATTGTCATATATGATATATTTTTAACCCATAAAATCTCCTTTAATTTTACCTAAAAATTATTCTTTTTTTCCTTTAGCAAATATTTTATAGCTACCCTTAATTGAAAAAGACTTCTTTTCAGCATTTAAAATGATTTTATTATATTATTCTAAAAATAATGTAAATTTAGGAGAAGCCCTATACAATCTACATTGTATCATTCCACCTTTAGGAGCAGGATGTATTAAGAATTATTCAACATCAAATTCAACTTATAAATCTAATAAAACAGTATAATTATTGTCCTTAAATTTTTATAGTTCATAAGTATTATTATTCTTTTAATCTTCTATTTTTACTTATAAAATTTTTTAGCTAGATTTTGTTTGCTTTTATTTTTGATTAGTTTATTACTTCAAAAATATTAATTAAATAATACTTAAATAACAATCAATTAAGAACTAATTTTTGATTAATTTGAAACTTTGAGTTCTTGGTTGTAAAGTTAACAAATTTTAGGAGTATTTGATTCAATATTAATAAAATCAATTATTTCATCATCTTCAAATTATATGACATCATCACTAGAATTATTTTATTAATTTTAATTCATTTATATTATTATTTTCGAAAATATAAAAGTTTTAGAATATAAATTATTAATATAAGTGTAAAACTAAGAAATTAAAATATCAGGATTATAATATTATTCTATGACTATTCTACTTTGATTATTATTTCTTATTTTCTATCTTAGGAGACAGATTATCAAGAATACGTTATTCCTTTTTATATTAGTAAATTACTTTTTTTTGTTTTGGTTATGTCATTTTTTATTATAAATCATCATAAATATCTTTTTAAGAGGGAACTTTTAAAGTGTTTTTAAACTAAGTGGAATTTATTAATTTAATTCTTTAAACATATAATTCAATATCTTTTTCTTATTGCTTCTCTACTTAAAGCCAACTGAACTTTTCAATCCTTTCATATTTTAGAAAGTGATTTCTTATGTTATGGAATAATTTTAGAGAATTTGTGATTTATTTTGTTTGAATATATAATTCATATAAACTAATTGCTAATAATTAATTAATTTTAATTACTATCTTTAACATTATGTTGTTAATACTATTCCAATTATTCTTCAATCTCCTTTTTTATAAATAAATATTCATATATACAATCTTTATAAACTAAAATAGTAATCTCTTTTGTTATTTACTATTTATAATTAAATTATTTACAGTGAAATCTGTTTCTTAAAATATTATCTTTTAAATCATGGGAATCATGGATAATTTAAAGTTAATCATATTCATTAATTTGAAAAGCCATAAAAATTTTATCTTCCTACTCTATGATTCTTCTATGTATGGATATTACATTTTTTAAGATGAATAATAGATATCCAAATTATTAGCTACTCTTTATAAATATGAATAATATTATTGAGCAAATTCGATTTCCACAGTATTAAATCTAATAGGATACTTTTATAAGATTTTGATATTTTGATACTTCAGAAAAATTCATTTAAACATCATTTGAATTAAGATTTGATTATCCTCCAATTGTGTTGTTGATAAAAGAAGTCTAGATACATCTTTAATTATTATTTTATTAGCAAACAATCTTTTATTGAATTAACATATTACCTTTCCTTATGAAAAACATTCAACTAATTCATTTTCATCATTTATTTATTCAGATATAATCATCATATGTAAAGTATATAACACTTTTAATTATTCTAAAAGTGTTTTAGTTGGTCTAAAAAATAGTTCTTTTCTTTTTTATTAACATTTAATTATTGCCTTAATATCATCTAGATGGACTGTTTAGGAATTTTAATCATATATTGTAGACTTTTCAGAAAGACTTTAATGGATTACGTTTTGACTTTTTTTTTTTTAGAAAATTGACTTGAAATAATTCATTTTAATATATTTTGTAAATCTAAACTAAAATTTTATTATAAATGTAAATATAAATTAGCGTTCTTTAATCAGGGGATGCTTATGTTTATCAAAAATATAAATACTCTTATTTCTTTGATTGAAAATATATTATATGATATAAATTAATATACATATTAATTATGTACAATAATATTGGTTTAATGACTCCTAGAGGTAGCGGTACCTCTGGGTATGTTTAAAAAAATCTAGCTCATATAAAACCAACAAGAAGGCAAGATGAATTTCTTAAAGAAATTAAGGCTATGAAAGTTTAGATTACTATTATAAAATTTAGGAAAATGTTATATAAGCAAGAAAGAAGGCAAATCCAGAAATCATTTTACATGAAATGAAGAGAGATATTGAACTCAAAAAAATTACCTTATAAGAGGAATTGGAAGCAAGAGGAATGGCAGAAGAAGAAATTTAATAAAGAGTTTAAAGATTGGAGGAAAAATTGAAAGATATGCTAAATAAAGGAGAATATCAATTAGAGTAATCAATTGTATTAATATAATAGTCATGTTGCAGATACTCACACTAAAACCTAAAGGAAGGAAGAGTAGGAGAAAAAAATAGGAGATGCATTTGGAATTGATAAAGAATAATTTAAGCCAGGCACAGCTTTTGATTTTGATGCTGAAGAGAAATCTAGATTAGAAAAAAAAGTTGAAAGAGAAATGAGAAAAGCTGAACGTTTAATTTAATTAAAGGAATAGAAGAAGGCAGAAAAAAAGAGATTAAAAGAGCTTGCATAATAACAATAACAAATTAAAGTTGCTTAAGAGAATGATGTCAAAAAGGAGGAAAGTCGCAGCAGAAGTAGAAGAAAAGAAAAAAAGTCAAAGAAGCATAAAAAATGAGTATAGATGATCATTATATTAACTTAATTATTTCAAATATGCAAGACTCTTTTTTTCCCTTTCTTAAATTATATTATTTTACAATTATCTATGATCAAATATCCCTTTAAATATGATGTTAATTATTTTATAATGAAGTTCTATGAAATTTTTTTTGTTTCTTTTAAACTATCTTATACTGAGATAGATAGATAGCCAGATTAAACATCAATTCAATTATGTTTAATAATTTAAACTTTATATATTAAAAATTAAAAATAATTATTAATTTATTTTTTTAGAAATACAATTAAAATAATTACAAAATATTCCAACTTTTCTAATCAAAATATAATGTTATTCTATTTGAATACTATAATTTAATATAAAAATTTGAATTGCTAATGAATCTAAAGTGAGAATAATTGTTAATTTGGATTAACCTTTTGTTTTGATTCATTGAGATAAAATTATTAAATTAACAATTTTTCAGTTCAATAATTTAAGATAGATTTTATTAGTTTACCTTAAATATCATAATAATTTATATGCTAAATTGATTCATTTTTATTCTTTTTTGAAAATAATTAGATCAAATATTTTAAGCACAAATATATTTGTAATAGAGGTTTAATTGTTATATTTTCATCATATAAGTAAATAAATAGATTAATATAATTATTTTATTAGAATGCAGTAAAATACTTAATAACATTATACTAAAATTATAGTTTTTTTTTACTTAAATATGATATCAAAATATAAAAAATTTATCATAAAAATTTATGATTTTAATTCTAATATTAACAGCTGTTTATATATTAGGGTTGTAAATTGAAGACTTAGTGACTTATTTACCTGTAAGATTATTATCATCAATTTGAATAGCCATTTAATATGACAGATTTTAATTTTTCATTGTATTCAGGATATTTATCGATAACTGATAGCAATCAATCATTTCATTATGTATTTGTTTAGAGTTAGCTAAACAATTTGGATAATAATGTACCTCTTGTTTTGTGGTTAAATGGAGGACCAGGTAGAATATATAAGTTATATCAAAGGGTGTTCGTCAATGATTGGATTTCTTTAAGAGATTGGTCCTTTTGTATTTTTGAATGAGGATGATGAGAGTTTATCATATAATGAATATTCTTGGAATAGAGTAGCACATTTATTATTTTTGGAAAGTCCAAGTGGAGTGGGTTTTTCACATAATCCATTGAACATAACATTTAATGATTCATAAACAGCAGATCACAATTTAAAAGTTTTATAGGAATTTTATAGCAATTATCCAGAATATCAAAAGAATCCATTATGGTTAGCAGGTGAAAGTTATGCAGGAGCATATATACCATTGCTTGCAGAGAGAATAAAAAAATTTAATGATTTAGAAGTGGCTGTAATAAATTTATAAGGAATGATGATTGGAAATGGAGTGACAAATTTAACACATCTTCCTATATCTTAATTAATATATTAAAAGTAACATTAATTGTTACCACCAACATTTGATATTTCTGCTTGTGAGAAGAATGTTACATCAGAAGATTGTGAAGATGTGAATTATGAAGCTTGGAGAATAACAAAGAGAATTAATCCATATGATATTTATGGGTATTGTTATTATGAGGAAAAAGAATCAGAAAATGAATATGAATGGATCTTATAAATGAAATAATTTATGATGCTTCATAATGATAATATTGTTAAAGTTACTAATCATTAATTAGGAATACCATGTGTGTAAATAGATAATATTTAGAATTATTTAAATAATATTTAGATTAAAAAGTTTCTACATGTGGATGAAAATATACAATGGTTTATGTGTTCTAAATCAAATAATAAATAATTTAAATATGTGTCAGATCCTACTCTTGTTATGAAAGTATTGCAAGAATTGCTAAATTATAATCTTTACAATATTCTATTATATAATGGAGATGCCGATAGTGTAGTTCCATATTTAGATACATTGCAAGGTATTTATTATAATTTAAATAATTTATAGCATTGCAGAAATTAAAAGTATCTGTCACTGAAGAATGGAGACCTTATTATGTAAAAAATAACTAACTTGGTGGTTATACTCAAGGATACTCTAACAAATTGAGATTTGTTACTGTAAGGGGAGCTGGACATATGGTGCCATAAAATGATAGGATAACTGCCTTTTATTTATTAAATCAGACTTTATTTGGATAGGCTTTTTGAATTTTAATAGTTTTTAATATTTTAACAAAATTGTATATTCAAATTAATATAAATAATAGGTTATATTATCTAAAAAAGCATGTATTACGAACTCAAAATAAAAGAAACCAAAACTCTAATTATGACTATTCTTACACTTTTAATAGTAATAGTGCCTATTCATTGGATGATTTAAGCAGGACTTAGTGTTATAACATCAGATTCATGTTAAAGATAATGGGCTATTAATTAAAATATGAAAGATAATCTTGATGAAACTTATGCTAGATTTGCAAAAAATTGTTATTGAATTTATATGCAAAATGTGCAAATTAATATTTATAAATAATGAAATAAAATCCTGTAGCACCACCTACAAAATAATAGCCATAATAACAACCTCCTCCAAAAGATCCTCCAAAAACTACTGGTAAACCAAATGATTAAAAATAACAATAACCATAATAACAATAGCCCATTCAATAACCTAAAACTGCTTAGCCATCTCCTCCAAAAAAAGAAACTGTCAAAGCTGCCACTAATGATATAGTAAATTTTATATTTTATGGCCTTTAGGATCATATATAAAAGATGAAACAAACCATGATGGACTTTTAAAATAAGTATTTTGAAACTCTTAAAAGTAAGCAAGATTCCATTTCTCAAAAGGTTTATTATGTATCCTATTCTTAGCTTTCATTAAGAAATGCCGAAAGAGTTGAAGATAAAATTCTTAATGCAATTCGTAAAGGAGTCTTGTAATTAGAAGTAAATTAGAAAGTTATTATTTTTATAAGAATTCCAAATATAACTATGTTGAAGGACATATGATGGATAAAAAAGTCTTGATTGTCGAAAAAGAAAAAGATTCACTATAAACAAAACTATAAAATGTTGATACTGAATTGAAAACACTAAAAAGCCAGAAAATCAACAATGCATATAGTGCTTATAGTTAACCTACTCTAAAATTATATATGCAAGAGGAGAATGTTACCAAATAATAATAAGCTCAAGAGACAGTCTAAAAAATCTAGCTTGAAGCCAAAACAAGAAGAGAAAAAACTAATAAAATATTGAGTGAAAAAGAGAGGAGAGAAAAAGAAGAAGAAGAAAGAAAAAAACAAGAAGATGCTATCAAAACGTAATCATTATTTAGATTATTTATATAGTTAATAATTGAAAGAACAGTTACATGCAAAATTAAGAGAAAATATAGAAGATTTGAAAGTAAAATAGAAACAAAGATTTGAAAAAATGGATAAAATGGAAGATGAATATTTTAAGAGTTTAAATGATAAACTTTCTAAAATGAATAAAGAAAGATCATTAATTGCCTCAGTAGATATTCCTAAGGTTTAATTAAAACCATACAAAAATGAAGGTTAAAAAAAGGATAAGAAGAAAAAATTCAGACCTAAAAGTGCATCTCCCAGTAACAAAATATAACATCCACATAAAAAAATTGAAATAGAATAACCTTTATATATGAGAGTGTTAGAGAAGTATAATAAAAAAATACAAAAATAATAAGAAATTGTTAATCAAGAAAGAAAAAATAGAATGGAAAAGAATGAATTTTATAATTAAGAATATGAAGAACATATGAAAGAATATTTAAAAAAACTTAAGATGAAAAAAAGAGAATATGAAGAAAAAAGAATGAAGGCTCTTGAAAAATTAGGTTTAGAAGCCGGAAAATATAGTTAAAATGTTAATGCAAGTTTTGATTCAAAATTATGGTTATTATAAGAATCTAGAATTAATAAATCACTTGATGATATCTCAATTATACCCAAAGAATCTTTAATTAATTAAGCCAAAGAAAAAAAATAAAAAATCATAAATTATGATAAAAAAGTTAAAGAAACTATTAAAATTCAAAAAGATAAAGAAAAAGAGGAAGAATTAATGGTTTTACGGGATAAAACAATCCATCCTGAAAGATATATTAGAATGGTTAAAAAGAATGATAAAGAATAAGAAAAGGAATCTAGTTATGAAATTTTCTAAAGAGAAGAAGAAGCTAGATAATAAAAAGAAAAAGAATCAAGAGAAAAAGAATTGGAGAGATATAAAAAAATATAAGAGAAAGCTAAAAAGGATCTTGAATAATCAATTATATTAAGTAAAATAAAAGATGAAGATAAGAAGAAAAAAGATGAATTTGATTATGAATATGAAGAATCTTTAGCCAAATAAAAAGGAAAGGAATACTTAAAAGAATTTAAAGAATTACATTAAAAGGCTCTTGAATTAGAAAAAGAAGAGAAAGAAAAACAATTAAAATTACTACAAGAATAATAGAAAAAAAAAAAATTAGAATTACCATAAATCACTTCCACTCCAAAAATTGTTAAAAACTAAACCTTAGGAACAGTAAAAAATAAAATAATTTCTTTAGCTAGAGAGACATGATTATTTATAAGAAGTTTTAGTATAAGCTAAAAAAGAAAGAGAAGAAAGAAAGGAAAAGGAAAGACAAGAAAAAGAAGAGAAAATTAAAGAAGAAGAAAGAAGAAAAGATGAAGAACGAAGAAGAAGAGAGGAAGGCATTGAATAAACACCAAGAAAAGTTGTAAACTTAGATGATTTAGATGATGAATAGAAAGAGGAGTTAAGAAAAAAGAAATTAGCTTTGCATAATTAAAAAGTTGACAAAATTAAAAAAAAAGTAAAACATTTTCAAAATTATTTTAGTATATAGATGATAAAACATATGGTGAATCATTATAACAAGAAAGCTATATAAAAAGAAAGGCAGATTAAGTAAATAAATTAGATAAATAAACTAAAAGCATGGAATCTGTATATATTATTATTATTTTTTATATAGATAGTAGAAGCTTCTTGGACGACAAAACCATTAAAAGCAGTAGAGAAAGCATAAGAAGTAGATGCTCTTTACATAAAGTCAATTCAATAAAAATTAAGTTTATTATCAACTGCTTAAAAAGCTTGACATTATAATCAATTCAATTAGAAACGCAATACATAAATTATATTAATTTTAGAAATTTTTAAATATTAATAATTATATATATTAAAAAAATGCTTTTGTACAAAAAGGAATTTTTTTATTTAAATTTAATTATTTTTCAATATAAAGTTCAACTTCTCAAAAATACAACCTTATGTAAAATTTTATTAGATTTTACATTATTTATCTTTATTTCTAAATATTTATTAAATCCTACTACATTCAAGTAGGGTTTGATAATTTTATTGAATTTAAAGTATGAATAACTTTTAGCATATTTCTAATTTAATTATGAGTATCAAACCAAGAATTACACTTTTTTCAATAATTATATGTAAACTTTTTGCTCTCAATTATGTAGTTAGCAAAATAACTCTGGAATTCACAGATTATTAAGAATAATATGTCTTTCTAACAAAGTAAGGTTTGATTTACAATAACATAAAAGAACATAATGTATGATGTAATTCTGCCATTTGAGTTCGATCTAAACTATAATTTTTTTTTTTTAAAACAATAGTTCGCATTAATTTTCGTAATATAATATTTTAATAAATTATGCCATGATTCTAAAAATAATATTATTAAACCAAAAACCGAAATCGATTAAAATTCATATATATTAATAATTTGTTTCAAAATGTTCCTTAATAAATAAGGCTTATTAGAAGATACAAATTAGCCTGAGCTCCTGAAAGAACAAGTATAAAAAAATGGGCATACCTCCACAAAGGATTCTATTTTTTCAAACACAAAATTTGAAAAAAATATGACTTATTTTCATATAATGGGTATGATATTATACAATATTATCAAAGGTCATGATGAACCACATGCTATAAGAAGAAGACAAATACTTGAGAAGCACCCAGAAATAAAAATTCTTTTTGGACCAGACCTTATGTCAGCATGGCTTGGGGTTGGTATAGTTCTGGCTCAATTTTGGTGTATAAACTTCTTTGCAACCACAAATTGGTTATGGTATCTAGTCTCATCCTACTGCATCGGAGCAGTCTTAAGTCATGCTCTTCATGCTTTAATGCATGATTTTACTCATTACTTGTGTTTTGAGAGTGTGTAATACAATAAATTGATGGCTATCTTCTTAAATTTTGGATAGGGAGTTCCATCAGCCATTACTTTTGGAAGGTATATTTTTTTTTTATATTTTATAGATATCATTCAGATCATCACACATTTATGAATTTACCTGATTTAGATCCCGATTTGCCATCTTAATGGGAGGTAGATCATGTCAAAGGGCCTTTGCGTAAATTTTTGTTTATGCTTTTTTTACCTTTATTCTATTCGCTTAGGCCTATGTTCATAAGACCCTTGATACCAAATAAATATGAGATCTTAAACTTAGTATCAATAATTGTATCAAATACATTGATATACAGATATATGGGACCATCTGCTTTAGGGTGGTTAATATTATCAACCTATTTTGGATTAAGGTAAGAATTAAATTAATATTTAATAGTGTACATCCTCTAGCTGCTCATTTGATCACTGAACACTATGAATTTATCAATAGATTAGAAACATATAATTATCTCGGAATTGCCAACTTTTTAATTTTAAATTTAGGATATCATACAGAACATCATGATTTTCCCAATATTCCATGGTCTAGATTGCCTCTAGTTAAGAAAATTGCCCCTGAATTCTATGATTCATTACCATATCATACAAACTACACTTTAGCTATTTTGGCATACATATTTTATGGATACATAGGGCCTTTTTCAAGGATTGTCAGAAAAGAGCTCAAATATAATGGAAAAACGAAATGATCTTTATATAGTATAATATATGGATTAATTGTAATCATTTTTTATTTTTTAAATACTTTACAGAAGGATTTATATTAGGTTTTGATTTAGATCTTTTCATTTATTATTATTAGTATTATTGTTATCTATTAGGAGAGGCAACTAATTTCAATGCTAAATGATTAAAATTATAGTCTTAAGCAGTGGCTGTTTTTTTAATATCATAATACATTTTTTCTAATTTACATTGCATATCATCAATATTTTATTATTATTATTTTTAGAGATTCTTAATCATATTGTTAATTGCAATATTAAAACTTGGTTTGCTTGAATCCATATTTGAGATTTGCTCTGCAATTTTTTGTAACTGTTTATTTTATTCTTATTAAGTTTCAATAAATTAACATTGAATTTGTAAATGATTATTATTCAAGCCTTAAGTACTAACTAAGAGTTTATAGGTTTTCTTCATTTCTATGGTTAATTCATTTATTTTAACAACCTACCTTTTAACATTATCAAAATTCTACTCTTTATTTAATCCCTATAATTCAATCAAAATTTAATTAATCTTTTTATCTAATTCTAATTAAGCACTATTTTCTTAGATTTTGAGATTGGGCACGCAATTTTCTTTATTTTCAGTGTTCAAACTTCTATAAGTCAATCTTAAACTTTCTGAACATGGAATTTCAGAATCAGTTGTATATCGACATTGAAATTGTGAAACTGAACTGGTTTAACTCATTCTTTATTTTGTTTCCAATAATTCCTATTTAAGTTAACTAATTTCTAATTCTAAATCTCTATATGTCTTTTTCTATGTTGCAATTCTAATTTCCTTCTTAATAAATCTAGCCCTCTAAGCAAATTTTAAAGATGAAACAGTTTCATCTAAGTTTTTATTTTCAGGAGATATTGCTACAATCTAAAAATCTTATATATTTGATTACAATAGATGTTCTACAATCTGCTTATAGACTATCCATTAATAATTTAGTAAGTTTAGAATCTCTATATGGAATATGATCTTATCCTTATGATAAACATTGTATGACATGTCCCAAACAAGATAATGAATAATTTATTTTCTTTGCTTCTTAAAGTGTTTCACCAATAGCTCCAGTTTTATTTACTTTTTCACTTCCTGCTAAATCAACTAAATAAAGCTTTGCTCTTCCCATTTAAATTGTCAATATTAAATGACTTCTACTACTTAGTGCATTTAATTTAGTCTCAGCAACATGTCTATTTTCTTCAGCTATCTAAAGCAATTCTTAACAATTTTCTAATTTATCAACTTTCTAAATTATATGATATAAATGATTACAATTCTTTTTAATCCATCTACATAAAAACCTAATTATAAGTCTTCTTTCATTTTTAAATCTTAAACACCAGAAACAAGATCATAAATATGATCTTTATAAATTTCAAGAATTGAAACATAAATAGTTTCTTAATTTCTTTATAACAAATGTGTAAATGTTCTTAAAACTATTCCAGGATTGTTTGATTCACCAAACATAGTGAAAGTTTTTCCACTTCCTGTTTATCCATATGCTATTAAACATCCATTTATATTATTAAGAAAATCATCTACTGTTTATTTTGCCACAACGTCAAAAATATCCCCCTTTGATAAATTATTAATATACTTATGTTGCTTATTATTCAAATACTCTATCAAAATTATATGAATTTGTATCAATAAGAATTGATGACTTATCATAGTTAAGTTAACATTCACCAGGCTTAATTCTGGCATATATTTTTAACATCCTATATTCTGGGTATTTAGGTTGGCTAAAACTTTTTCTTTTTGTTTCCTTAATTGAATCTTATGTTTTATTAGAAAAGGAACGCTAAGCTTTGACATTTTTTGGAGTTATGTTTTTTTCAAATAACAATGGAGGTGGGTTATTAGTTTTGAAGAATTATTGAAAAGATGTGAATTACTTTTAATTTGGTTCTTAAACCTTGAGAATCAAATCAATAGTTTTGCTATTGTAGCTCATTTGAATATTTAATTATATTACTGTTAAAATTATCATATATACAAATTAAGTAGGAGAACATCAACAGGTAATTTTTCTCGGTTGTTTTGGATCAAAGTCATCATTCTAATCCAAGATATTTGTTTGGCTTTTTATACTTGAATTTTCTAAGGTTGTTTATGAAGGACCTTTAGATCTACATCCTATTTCATTTCCATCTAATTGACTTTTGGCAATAAAAAAGACCATAAGATTACTGGAAACTAATTCATGATATCTATATAATAAGATTAAAAAATATACTTAAATATAGAGTTGAGATAAACTTCTAATTATGTTTTTCTATCTTTTAAATCACTATTATCCATAGAATTTATCACTTTTTTTTGAGGAAATTCTGGTATTTCAAAAGGAATCTTAATTTTTTTTAATTATCTATGATTTTCCTTTAAATCTTGATATCTTTAATTAAATTTCCAACTCTTATTAGCATAATGATCAGTAATTTCTATGGTATAAATTGCTGAATTATCTTAAAAAGCATGTTCTCCAAATTTAAATGTATATTATTATCTAAAATTGAATAAATAAATCAAATATACTTAATTTATTATTGTGGTTTTTGTAAAGGTAATGAAAAAACCTAATTTTCATGTTTGGCTAAGTAAGATTTCTTTAATGCTTCAATTTCTGACCATTAATTATTAGAATTTTGTATTATTTAATTCTGATCAACAGGTTTTCTGTTTTTAGTAACAGGTATAAATTCTTCAATGGATCCTAAACTTTGTAATTCAGGATGTTAAAAGACATCATTAAAATATTATTATAATTCAGTCCTCTAACATAATAAATTAAAATACTCGCTTAATAATACTCTCTTCTGATAGATTAGTGCTAAACAGAATTTTTTTTTTTGGAAATTATAACTAAGGGATTTTAATTTTGAAAATGTTGATCCAATCTAAAATTTTATAGTGAATAGATTCTAATTCTGAATAACGTTTTTTGACTTCTTTATAATCATTTGTTTCCAAATTTGTTACTTTGATAACATAATAGACCTTCTTTTCTTAATATTCATGTGTTGGAATTTCCACCAAATATCTTGTAAGTGTTTTCTTCATTTAATAATTTAATTTATGCATTTTTCTGCATGTAAACACAAGAACATTGATTATGCATTTTATAATTAATGACGAAATATAATTGATCATTATAATGTGATTTCAGATTCTTTCTCTGAAATACTTAATAACTCTTAATTTGTAACTTCTTTTATGTCAGCTTAGATTAATTTATCATGTCCTTCAAATTACAAGTAACCAGAAAAACATTTATTTTCAAGTAAATAGGGAATCCAATATTAATCATCAATCCACATTTAATTATAAGGTATTTTTGCAACATCAAACCATTATGGTTTCATTTCTTCAGTCTCTTTGACTTATCCATCAAAATGAGTGGCTCTAAAGATGTGAACTTTAAGTGTTTCTTTTTCACAATCATAATCCATTTTTATATACCCAATAAATTATGCATCTGTTGGAGTTATACAACCCTCTTCTTATGTTTCCCTTATTGCTGCTTGATAAATAGATTCTCCGTTCTTTTCTACTTTACCTCCGAATCCATTATATTTACCCATTCCAAACCCTCTCTTTTTCATAGCTAATAAGATCTAGTTATTTTGATGGATAAGTAGAAGGGTTAAGATCTTAGAGGGTTTACCCTAAAACATAATTAAAAATATAGATTTTTAATATAAACAAATAATACTATTCATTTGGGAATATTAGTTTTAATTGTATATCCATGAGCACCAACTAATTCATTTTTTAAAGCTTCTACAACCATTTAATGTTATTTAACCTTTGATTTACCTTGAAATTCAGGTGATTCAATTTCCAATCTATACATAGAGCCACCTAGACAAATTTAATTAATTGATTACATCCTCCAGATGTGTCAATAACTTCTACTTTTGTTGCTTTTAATACTTAAGTAAGTTTATCAGCCATAACTTTTTCGATATCTTATGAAAATTTAAAGAAGACTTTTCTAAGCATATAAATATTTAATAAAAATATAATAATCATGGTTGATTATTTAATCCTTTAATTTCCTTTAATTCATGATAATTATCAATTGTGTCTTATGTATGAAGTGTCCAATTCTCTTTTGCTATAAATTATTTGATTTTGAATTCATCTCCATATCTTCTCAATACTATTATCTAATAAAGCACACATATTATCACCAAGATATATATATTCATATATGCAGCTGATTATAAAATCAAAGGATCTAAAATAACTCTACTAACATTATGTAAAGAACTAATTATTGAGATTTACATTCCAGCTAATTATGGTTCAACTATTTCAGCTACAAATGAAAATGTACATACAGTAAAGATTTTCTTAAAAATTCTACTAATTCAAATAATATAAATACTCATGAACTAACAATTGAAAACAAAATAAATATTAAAATTGATTTATCTTGCCTTTTGTAGGTGTTTGTTTATTATATTCATAATAATCTAATAAAAAGAAGGCCGTATTTATAGTTTAATAAGTCAAAGCGCTTATTACTAAAGAATTCTCTTTCTTTTTGCCTGATATAAAGTAACCAATCACTAAAGGAATCCAAAAAGTACAACAAAATATAAAAATTTAACCTTAACTAATGAATGTCTTTTCCATTCCTGCTCTTATCATTACTATTGGAGCAGCAATATCCATGAAAGATATACCATTTCTTTAGAGGAAAATGAACAAACATAAAAATCTTAGGTTTTTGTTATAATATAATCCTNTAATCCATTTTTATATACCCAATAAATTATGCATCTGTTGGAGTTATACAACCCTCTTCTTATGTTTCCCTTATTGCTGCTTGATAAATAGATTCTCCGTTCTTTTCTACTTTACCTCCGAATCCATTATATTTACCCATTCCAAACCCTCTCTTTTTCATAGCTAATAAGATCTAGTTATTTTGATGGATAAGTAGAAGGGTTAAGATCTTAGAGGGTTTACCCTAAAACATAATTAAAAATATAGATTTTTAATATAAACAAATAATACTATTCATTTGGGAATATTAGTTTTAATTGTATATCCATGAGCACCAACTAATTCATTTTTTAAAGCTTCTACAACCATTTAATGTTATTTAACCTTTGATTTACCTTGAAATTCAGGTGATTCAATTTCCAATCTATACATAGAGCCACCTAGACAAATTTAATTAATTGATTACATCCTCCAGATGTGTCAATAACTTCTACTTTTGTTGCTTTTAATACTTAAGTAAGTTTATCAGCCATAACTTTTTCGATATCTTATGAAAATTTAAAGAAGACTTTTCTAAGCATATAAATATTTAATAAAAATATAATAATCATGGTTGATTATTTAATCCTTTAATTTCCTTTAATTCATGATAATTATCAATTGTGTCTTATGTATGAAGTGTCCAATTCTCTTTTGCTATAAATTATTTGATTTTGAATTCATCTCCATATCTTCTCAATACTATTATCTAATAAAGCACACATATTATCACCAAGATATATATATTCATATATGCAGCTGATTATAAAATCAAAGGATCTAAAATAACTCTACTAACATTATGTAAAGAACTAATTATTGAGATTTACATTCCAGCTAATTATGGTTCAACTATTTCAGCTACAAATGAAAATGTACATACAGTAAAGATTTTCTTAAAAATTCTACTAATTCAAATAATATAAATACTCATGAACTAACAATTGAAAACAAAATAAATATTAAAATTGATTTATCTTGCCTTTTGTAGGTGTTTGTTTATTATATTCATAATAATCTAATAAAAAGAAGGCCGTATTTATAGTTTAATAAGTCAAAGCGCTTATTACTAAAGAATTCTCTTTCTTTTTGCCTGATATAAAGTAACCAATCACTAAAGGAATCCAAAAAGTACAACAAAATATAAAAATTTAACCTTAACTAATGAATGTCTTTTCCATTCCTGCTCTTATCATTACTATTGGAGCAGCAATATCCATGAAAGATATACCATTTCTTTAGAGGAAAATGAACAAACATAAAAATCTTAGGTTTTTGTTATAATATAATCCTTTCACTTATTTAATCTATTAAAAAAGACTATAGTAATGTATGACTTCATCTGGATTTGTTTCTTTAACAAAAATAACCAGAATACACATTATTATACATATTATTCCTAGACTTGATTAATATTAAGCAAAACTAATTATGTTATTTTGATTTAGCAATATGAAAATGGATTATGAGATGAACCAACCTACTTATTATCCAAACGTTTAACATACACTTTATTAAGCTACATTTGATAATAATGTAACTGACCATCCATCTATAGCAGTGTCACTTGTTGATAAACAAACCATTAAAGTAATGTAATAATAAAATAGATTTAGCAGAGTATGTTCAGCATTTGCAGCCAATATTAAAAGAACACCCATTAGCAAAAAAAATGGAACTATATAAGTTTTTCTCTTCCCAAATTTTTCAATAAAATAATAATCCTAGATTGGTGACCAAACAAATTTGAATGCCCAAGGTATTGTACATAAAGAGAATATCCCAATATCTTTTTCATGTGCAAATAACACCTATATTGCTCCCCCAGGTAATCCTACAATTAATCCTTAAATAAAATAGAGGGTTGTTAATACTACTTATCCTATTTACATAGAAACTAAATAATTAAAAGGAGGTTTTTATTTTTACAATTCAATGAAGTGCCAATATCATATAGAATCAATTAAAATACATAATACTCAAATTAAATATGATATGTTATATCTTATAGATATTTCCAATCAGAAGACAATAAAGTTTTTATTAAAAGATATATTTCTAATTTTCTTTTCCATTATATCCAAATATGCGTTAATTAATCTTAGTCAATTTAAATAGAAAACATACTTTGATTTAGATTTTTAACATATTAATTTATCACAAAATTTAAAGCGATAATATATTATGAATAAAATTTATTTAGATTTATTCTCTTATTAACCATTACAATTTTATTGAAAGTATAAAAATATCATAAATTTGTTATTGAGATATTATATCTATTTAAATAAAGTTATTTGAAAATTAATCATTCTAGTTTTGTTAAACCAAGTCTTCCACTTAAATATAATATTCTATCTAGGTATTCACTTCTTTCTACTTCAAATGCCTTTTCTTTTACCCACAATTTCTTCTCTAGAATAGTGAACTAAGATATTTTAATAAACATTTTATACTTTTTTAAGATTTTTTGATAATCTTTTAATTTCTTTATCTTTTTCATCTAATTTCTTTCGAAACTCTTCCATTAAATATGGATTTTTATCTGAAACTGCCTCTCTATGCCATTTCATTTTTTCTTCTTCTTCTTTCTCTTATTTCATCTCTTTTAATTAAGTGTAGCATTTTGAGAAATCTGATTTAAGTTTTTTATTTTCTTTTTCTAAATTTTCTACTCTGACTTTCATTTTATTATATTCTAGTTAAATTTAACTGGTATCATTCTCTCTTGCTTAAGAAACTTTAATTATTCTTTATTTTAACATTGAATTCTATTTTTCTAATTCTTGAGTATAATTTAAGTTGTTTGCAGTTCCAGGCTTTTAATATATAAATCTCCTAGAAACATTACAACTTTAAACATTGGCACTTCTAAACATTTCAGGTTACGTTTAATCAGATTATGATTCCACTTTACCCTATCTTACTATAAAGAAAGCTTATAATTTCTATAAAACTTCAGAAGGATTCTTTGAATTTTCATTTGACATTACAATTTACTTAATTGCTTAATACTTTTAATGTAACTAAAATCTTTTATATTTATAACTACTTTTTGATATTCTTATGATTTAGGTGAATCTAAAACAGGAGGAACAGGAAATTCAGGATCAAAGTCTTAATTTTCTTACATTTTAGTATATATAAAATAAAATTGAATATAAATGTATATTTTAAATGATAGCAAATAATAAATCATTATTTATCTAATAAAATTAGCAAATAATGTAAAATTAAGAATGAAGAATGGGTTCTTATCAGAGACATATATAAGTTCACTATTAATCAATAATAACTGATTATAATCAAATGAAATAAGATATATAGGATTTAAAAAAAACAAAGATTTAATTTAATTCACATTATTTTATTAAAGTTATAGTCCAATATTCAAAATATTAATTGACTTTTTATATAAATATCATATTCTATCATACTTTTTTTTATAATCTTTATATCTAATATGATAATCATATAAAATATGAAGGTATTATTATTAATTAGTGATGATAATTTTAAGAAAACAAGAATTAATTTTATATAATTTTTTACTATTTTAATAACAAACAAGATTTATTAATTTAAATATTATATATAATGGGCTCTAAACCTACAATTCCTGAATCAGTTAANATTCTCTTATTAACCATTACAATTTTATTGAAAGTATAAAAATATCATAAATTTGTTATTGAGATATTATATCTATTTAAATAAAGTTATTTGAAAATTAATCATTCTAGTTTTGTTAAACCAAGTCTTCCACTTAAATATAATATTCTATCTAGGTATTCACTTCTTTCTACTTCAAATGCCTTTTCTTTTACCCACAATTTCTTCTCTAGAATAGTGAACTAAGATATTTTAATAAACATTTTATACTTTTTTAAGATTTTTTGATAATCTTTTAATTTCTTTATCTTTTTCATCTAATTTCTTTCGAAACTCTTCCATTAAATATGGATTTTTATCTGAAACTGCCTCTCTATGCCATTTCATTTTTTCTTCTTCTTCTTTCTCTTATTTCATCTCTTTTAATTAAGTGTAGCATTTTGAGAAATCTGATTTAAGTTTTTTATTTTCTTTTTCTAAATTTTCTACTCTGACTTTCATTTTATTATATTCTAGTTAAATTTAACTGGTATCATTCTCTCTTGCTTAAGAAACTTTAATTATTCTTTATTTTAACATTGAATTCTATTTTTCTAATTCTTGAGTATAATTTAAGTTGTTTGCAGTTCCAGGCTTTTAATATATAAATCTCCTAGAAACATTACAACTTTAAACATTGGCACTTCTAAACATTTCAGGTTACGTTTAATCAGATTATGATTCCACTTTACCCTATCTTACTATAAAGAAAGCTTATAATTTCTATAAAACTTCAGAAGGATTCTTTGAATTTTCATTTGACATTACAATTTACTTAATTGCTTAATACTTTTAATGTAACTAAAATCTTTTATATTTATAACTACTTTTTGATATTCTTATGATTTAGGTGAATCTAAAACAGGAGGAACAGGAAATTCAGGATCAAAGTCTTAATTTTCTTACATTTTAGTATATATAAAATAAAATTGAATATAAATGTATATTTTAAATGATAGCAAATAATAAATCATTATTTATCTAATAAAATTAGCAAATAATGTAAAATTAAGAATGAAGAATGGGTTCTTATCAGAGACATATATAAGTTCACTATTAATCAATAATAACTGATTATAATCAAATGAAATAAGATATATAGGATTTAAAAAAAACAAAGATTTAATTTAATTCACATTATTTTATTAAAGTTATAGTCCAATATTCAAAATATTAATTGACTTTTTATATAAATATCATATTCTATCATACTTTTTTTTATAATCTTTATATCTAATATGATAATCATATAAAATATGAAGGTATTATTATTAATTAGTGATGATAATTTTAAGAAAACAAGAATTAATTTTATATAATTTTTTACTATTTTAATAACAAACAAGATTTATTAATTTAAATATTATATATAATGGGCTCTAAACCTACAATTCCTGAATCAGTTAAACAAATGAGTACAAAGAAAGACGCTGAATTTTCAGTTCACATTGTCTATTGCAGTGGATGAGGATATGGTTAATTTTACAATTTCTTTGTTGAATGTTTATAAGTGGTCTATCCTAATGCCAAGGTTACAGGTGAATAGACTCCAAATGTAAAATATTTAAATATTGTTTTAGGTTTCTGGGTATTTTGAAATAGAAGTATCCAAAGATGGAAAAAAATAAGTAATTCATTCAAAAAAGAATGGAGATGGCATCTTTAATGAAAAATCATGTTAACCAATATTGGATAAATTAAAGAATTATGTTGAGGCTTGAAAGTCTCTTACAAAAGTAGATAATATATTGGATTAGTACATTAAACATAAATGAAGAAACTAAGTTTAAATACAAGAAATTTATTTTCTGAAGAAACTCAATGATTAATGTTCTAATTCTTATATTATAATTAAAATAATATTTTAATAGCTTTCTAATCTTTATTTTATAAATGATTAAGCAATAGGATATATAAATCATATTAATAGTTATAAATAATAAATAAGTAGAAATTCTTTGCACAATCATTTATAACATCCATTAATACATTTTATCTATTAACCATTAAAGAGTAGTTAACCTTCTCCATATTATTTCCCATTTCTCCAAGTACCAACATATTAACCATGTTATGTAATTTATTAACCAAATCCATGTCTCCTATGATTCTCAAATTCTCCAATATACTTTTATCCATCAGGAAACAGTAATTCTCCTCTTCCATGATATTTACCATTTAACCATTCTCCATTATAATATCTACCATCTTTTCCAACAAATTCTCCATCTCCATTTAATAAACCATTCTTAAATTGACCTTCAAAAATATTTCCATTAATATCTATTAATTTTCCATATCCACTTCGTATTCCTCTTTCGAATCCACCTTCATAAGTGGTTCCATCCTTAAATTTAGTTCTACCTCTTCCATGTAATAAATTATTTTGAAATTAACCTTACAAAATAACATCATTAAAATAATATATTCCTTTACGTAATTCTCCATTCTGATATTCTCCTTCTTTATAACTATTATTTGAGTAAACTATTCTTCCTATTCCATGTGGTTAATTTTAACTATTAATTTCACCAACATATGCTTATGTATCCTAAACTATTATCTTAATGTTTTTCTTCCTTAAAATCTTGTATGTTAAGATATGTTCTAATTTATGAAATCCAAACTTTTTTAAAATTCTTCTTTCTTCCATTAATAATTATTTATTATTTTTCAATATAAGTTTTTATCTTCTTGATAGAAATCCACGTATAATTGCTTATATCTTTACTATCTTATTGAATATATCTAATGGAGTATGTGATACCTCCTCTCGATATTCATTATCACAATATTAACCTTTACATTAATTTCCCATTTAAAAATATTAAATATAATTAAAATGAACATACTTATAATTATCTTTCTCATTTGTAATGCATATCATCATTAGGGTACACTTCAAATCAATCATACTCTTTCTTTAAAAACTAATATAACACAAAATGCTCAAAGCATAATAATTAACTTTATATTACCTTATTATAGAAACAGAGATTAAACGGTGGCTTGCTTTTTATCAAATTTTGATTTAGAATTATAGATATTAAATATTTAAGATTTAAAATTAAAAAATGAAAATGATATTGTTTATGACTTACATAGTATATAATCAAATAGCAATACTTAGCTTATAGAACACTTATTATTAAATACAATCTATTTGTATTGCTAATCTTAAACTATCAGTCAAATTGAATATTAATTAATCTATAAAGAAGATGCCTATAAACCATGTTGCATCAATGATTGTTAGGATTATAATTACACAAAATTTATAAGTAAATCTTATTGTTTAAATAATCACTGTGAATGTCAAACTAATTAAATTGGATTCTTCTGTTAACTTTCTTCAAGTTATATATTGAGTAGTACTTAATAAGAAGTAATATTAGATTCATTTTAATGGAAATTCTTTTATGATTAATATAATAATATTATGGATTTGCTATTATTATGCAACCTCTCAATTGAAGATAAATCTGTATGTAAATTTGTATTAATCTATATTAAGTATATAGTATTACATTAAGATAAATTCCTTAATTAGAAATTCCTAATTTGTCTATGAGTAAAATCTTAGTTAATGGTACTTCTTTATATATTGAGCTTTCCAAATTAATAGAAAATTCAAATGGAAGTAAAATCTTTTACATAGGATAATATAATAATAAGTCATAACAATAATAATTAAAAATTACAATAGTATCAAATAAATCATTAGATTATGAATAACTTGAAAGAAATACAATAATAACTATTATTTATAATAACTTGTATTTTAAGTTATATCAAATCTAAAAAATTACAAGTCTAATAATAAATTGGTCGTGTAAGGTAAATGAGGATTGAGGAAAATAATTAAGTCTAAATAGATGTGCCTAAATAATCTATATATTAGGATTTAGTTAAAAATTTATCAAATAGTATTTTGGTGTGATTTCATATAAAAAACTTGTATAATAATATCCTGGGTTAAAACAATTTGAAGATTGCATAATATGTTTAGAATCTATAAAAAATGGATCTAAAAAATAATTAAGACATTGTTCAGTTACTCTTTGTTTCCATATTTTTCATTAGAAATGCTTAACTTCATGGTTACAAAAATAATAAAATTGTCCATTTTGTAGAGAAGAATTTACAATTAGACTGATTCTAAATAAATATCCTTGGCTTGATTTAAAGTAATAAAGATTAAATAATCCAATTTAATTATAATCTAAATATAAATAGAATATGAAATATAGTTCAAATACGGATCAATCATAAGATAATTAATTAAATGATAGTTAATAAGAATTAGTAAGAAAAGATAAAATAATTTTAGAGATATGAAAATGCTAATTATTATTCATTTACAAACATACCAAGTCAAAATTTTTATAATAATAAATTAAGTCATATAATTTAACTTTAACTTACATCGTTTGTTTCTATCATATCTGGATGGCCTAATTTCTATTTTAGAAGATTTATTTATTAATATTCTTCCATTAATCTATAAACTTCTAATATTGACTAATGTTAAAAAGTAATAACTCCTTCAAGAAAGGTAGTTACCATTACACAATTCTGAATTGATATTTGTTGTAATTATTAAATTGGTAATTACATTAATGGTATACTTTAATTTTATTCATATATTAAAATTTCATTATGTAGAATACCTAAAGATACTTTAATAGGCATTCTTTTTTATGTATTTAAAAGTTAATTTTATAACATCTTTACTGTAAATATCTTGATTCCATNACCTCTCAATTGAAGATAAATCTGTATGTAAATTTGTATTAATCTATATTAAGTATATAGTATTACATTAAGATAAATTCCTTAATTAGAAATTCCTAATTTGTCTATGAGTAAAATCTTAGTTAATGGTACTTCTTTATATATTGAGCTTTCCAAATTAATAGAAAATTCAAATGGAAGTAAAATCTTTTACATAGGATAATATAATAATAAGTCATAACAATAATAATTAAAAATTACAATAGTATCAAATAAATCATTAGATTATGAATAACTTGAAAGAAATACAATAATAACTATTATTTATAATAACTTGTATTTTAAGTTATATCAAATCTAAAAAATTACAAGTCTAATAATAAATTGGTCGTGTAAGGTAAATGAGGATTGAGGAAAATAATTAAGTCTAAATAGATGTGCCTAAATAATCTATATATTAGGATTTAGTTAAAAATTTATCAAATAGTATTTTGGTGTGATTTCATATAAAAAACTTGTATAATAATATCCTGGGTTAAAACAATTTGAAGATTGCATAATATGTTTAGAATCTATAAAAAATGGATCTAAAAAATAATTAAGACATTGTTCAGTTACTCTTTGTTTCCATATTTTTCATTAGAAATGCTTAACTTCATGGTTACAAAAATAATAAAATTGTCCATTTTGTAGAGAAGAATTTACAATTAGACTGATTCTAAATAAATATCCTTGGCTTGATTTAAAGTAATAAAGATTAAATAATCCAATTTAATTATAATCTAAATATAAATAGAATATGAAATATAGTTCAAATACGGATCAATCATAAGATAATTAATTAAATGATAGTTAATAAGAATTAGTAAGAAAAGATAAAATAATTTTAGAGATATGAAAATGCTAATTATTATTCATTTACAAACATACCAAGTCAAAATTTTTATAATAATAAATTAAGTCATATAATTTAACTTTAACTTACATCGTTTGTTTCTATCATATCTGGATGGCCTAATTTCTATTTTAGAAGATTTATTTATTAATATTCTTCCATTAATCTATAAACTTCTAATATTGACTAATGTTAAAAAGTAATAACTCCTTCAAGAAAGGTAGTTACCATTACACAATTCTGAATTGATATTTGTTGTAATTATTAAATTGGTAATTACATTAATGGTATACTTTAATTTTATTCATATATTAAAATTTCATTATGTAGAATACCTAAAGATACTTTAATAGGCATTCTTTTTTATGTATTTAAAAGTTAATTTTATAACATCTTTACTGTAAATATCTTGATTCCATGTAATTTTTATTTATAGAGATTATTAAGAAATTCAATTTCCAATATTCTTATTTCATTATTTAAGCCTAATAAACATTTTTAAATTTGTAGTTAATTCAAAATATTTTAAATTTATTAAAAAATTTATTTTTTCCAATCAATTTTGTTAACATTATTGAAGATTAATAAAGGTATAAAGTTTTAAAACCATTACATTCTAACTTATTCAAATGATTTAATTTTATGAACTTCATTATTATATAATATGCATATTGCAAGTGCACATTACATTACATAATCTTATTAATTCATATGAGAATGATTAAATTTCAATTATGATAATTCTTAATAAAATAATAATTGAGATCTACTCTTATTTTTACTAAATTCTTGAAACTCTATTTCATAACAAAGATATAAATATTTTTTTAAATAAAATTTTGGTTATTATTTTGAACTTACTTAATAATAGATCCCATTAAAAAATTTAGACAGAAAATCTATATAATAATAAATGAATAATAATACTTTTTTATTTTTGATTGTAATTTTTCATAACCTTATAAACAACTTCATTATCATCTAAATATCGACAAGTATTATTTTAAAGAATCATCAATTTAAAATCAAAGTTTCTATCTAAAAATATTGATCTGCAAACAGTATCTATTAAATCAATAGTTTTGCAATGTTAAGTTATTTTCAAAGTAATGTTTTTATCATCTGGTAAAATTACTATGATTTCAAATTCATCTTCTTAAAATAATGTATTTCTCATTTAAGTTGTATAACTTCCTCTCATTGTAACTAAAGTATCATTATGATGAACTTTATCTATAGTAAAAAAATTTTCAGGAAGATCAAGATATTATATAAGTATATCTTCATATTATTTCATTTATTTATTTAAGAATATGGATTTTAAGAAATATAATATGGATTCTTAGCGTAATTTGATTAATTTATTTTCTGTAATTAAATTTGCACAGTTACTTTATAATTCATCGATTCCAAAATTTCTATTTAATAAAGTAGTTTCTAATTCTATTAAATCACGATATCTTTGATATGTTCTAATCCGATAATTATTTATTTAAATCTTTCAATATATATCATACAATTACTTAGATTATATAAACAATAAATGTATTAATTCCATCTTTCTATTTAAAAGTAGATACTATATGAATAGAAACCTATTATTATAATTTTTTTAAGAATTGTTCTTCTTCTAATTACTTTTTTTAAATCATCTCAATTTCTAATTAATCAATTGTTCCGAATTATGCCAATAATTTTAAATTACTTTAAGTGCTATTAAGAGAATATTTAAATTTATACGTATTCATCATCTAATTGATTTATTCATTTATTTTATAAAATTATTCTTATATTTATTTAAGACCATGATAATCTGGATGACCCAATTCAGTGTATTTAATTAATTTTTCTATCATTAACACATATCTAGGTAATTATTATACAGGTTTAACAAGAAATGATTCAAATGTTAAACCTTTAAGTACTCCACTTATTTCTATATTCTGAATATATGAGTTGAATTCTGCCTAAAAATAATGGAAATATAATACTTTACTATTACGTAATTTATTTATATTTTCTAATTAAAATCTGCTGCAGTAATCATAATAGATTTTAAAAAAAGGAATGTAAATCTTGAATTATTATGAAATAATAATAAAATGTTGATAATTTTGTAAAATTTCTTAAATAGAAATGGTAATTACATTATATGGTAATATAGAATTTGTAATTTAGTTGTTGTATTTACTCAACATTCAAAAATAAAGATAGTAACTCATCTTCAGTCAAAATCTTTTAAAGTCTAACTAAATAGCATTTATATATTACCTGATATCAGACATCAATCTACCAACAATAATATTTAAGTCTTCATTATAATTTTTTTCAATCTAATGAAATTCAACAACAACATATTTCCTATTTCTAAGTTATCTAAGTTTCTTTTGAAATTATCTCATATTTAAATATCTTCTATAGTTCCTCTGAATCATAATGATTTTTGGTATAATATTTTTAGTAACACTTTAAAGTATTTCTTTTTAGTTGTATTATGAATCCATCTAAAAGAATGAATAAAATCTATACCACTCTAGCTTATTATTTTCTTTTCTTTGATTTTACAGAGGAATGTATCGTTCCTTATTCTTATTCTTATTCAAAGTTACTATATTCTAAACAACTGTCCTCACTCCTAATTATTGAAGATTAATAAAGTTAGTTCTGATGCTTGAATGTAGAAAATATCTGAGATTATTTATAGGATGTGGCTAATTGTTCTCTTAAGGACTCAAACTTCTAATTTGTAATTTATTACATAATTAAATAAAATAAGCAATATATTTTTATTATTCCGACGTATAAACTCTTCACTTTAGATTTTTCTTTTCTCCTTCTACAAGTCCAACTATTTTATTGAAATAGATATGACCATCCTTAATTGAATCCACTATATAAAATCCATTACGTTCAAATTAGAATCTATCTCCAACTTTGTATTCCAACTACTTAGGGACTTTGACGTCATAGATTTGTAATGAGTTTTTATTAAAACTATTCCAGAATTCTTGAATTTCTGCAGGATTCTCAGTATCAAAAAGATATGAATATTCATTTACTGTTGCAGTAATACAATCATTTTTATCTAACCAATTTATTTATCCTTTTAATTTCTTTCTTTCATTTATATCTGTTGATATTAATTTTACTTTTATATATTTCACTTTATCATTCTCTAATATTATATCTTCACATAAGATTACTCCAAAAAATCTTAGACAAACTTATTTATTAGGTGTTAAACCATAAAAATCAGGATTACTTACCAATTTTACATCATCTTATTAAACATAAACTTATTTTATTGTATTTTTATCAATTTCAACATCAATCAATATTGGATTAAGAATTGCCATAATCTTAGGTGCTGTTTTTTCCAATTCCTTTCTAATGCAATTCTCCAATATTTTAATAGAAATTATTTATTCATTACCACCTCTTGGCACACTGACTTAATCAATAAATTCATTTATAGCTTAAGGAGTATATCCTCTTTTTCTTAATCCAGCCAAAGTCAATAATCTAGGATCATCCCATCCATTAACTATTCCCATTTCTATCATTTTTCCAATCTTTCTTTTAGATAACATATTATTAGAAACGTTTAAACGAGAAAATTCATATACAAAAGGCTTATACAAATTCAAATTTGTTAATATCCAATAATAAAGTTCTCTTCTAATTTCAAATTCTAAAGTACAAAGTGAATGAGTTATATTTTCTAATGAATCACATATACAATGAGCAAAATCATACATTGGATATACTTTCCATTTATCACCACTTTTAGGATGTTGAGTATACAAAACTCTATAAATTACAGGATCTCTAAGAGTAGGATTTGCATGTTGATAATCAATTTTCAATCTTAATGTATATTTACTTTCAGGATGTTTTCCCTCTTACATTTCATTGAAAATACGTAAACTTTCATCTATATCTCTATCTCTATAAGGTGATGGTTATTTATTTCTTCTGTATTCTTTCATTTCATCTCTATTTTATTCACAAATAAAGGCCTATAATTTAATATTATAGAAATACTTTATTATCTTTAATTAATTTAATTGCACAATCAAATATAAATGGAAAATAATCTGAAGCATATGTGATATGAGTTGGTTTATGTCCAAACCATTTTACATTATGTTCAATTTCATCAATATATATTTATTTTTCATTAGCAGGATTAGTATCATCATATCTTAGATAACAATAACCATTTAATTATTCAGCAGAATAAAAATTTAATCTAATTGATCTTACATGTCCTAAATGTAAATATCCATTAGGTTCAGGAGGAAATCTCAGTACAATTTTACCTTAAGTAATACATTTATGTTTTTCTAATTGTTCAGGTAGATTATGTTATTCAGGTATATCTCTTGGTGTAAAAGTTTGAATCTTCTCATATATTTGTTGTTTAGATTAATTTTGTTTATTTTAATTAAGTTTGATTATCATTTCTTATGTACATTCTGGAAATTATTCTTTAATTTTTATTAATTATTCATTTGAACAAAGACCAGGATATTTTTAGTTTATTTGTATAATACATGAATGTATTCTTTTTTCTTTTATAGTATTAATATATTCATTGAGATAGAATTCTGGATTTTATATTTTTTGAATCAATTTGATTGCATATTCCAAATCCTAATTTGATTCAATTGATTTATTTCTTATTTATTAGAGTAAAATTTGTTTATATGGTATTAATCCTGGTTTTAGTTTTTATACTAGATAGGCAATTAATTTAAGTTTTTTCTCATCATCATTTGAAATAAGTTGATTAAATTGAGTTAATTAAGAGGGAGAGAGATTTTTAAGGGTGGATGCAATAGAGGGAGTGAATTAGGAATAAAGATAATGGGGTATGCGAATGTAATGTCTGAGTAAATATTGCATTTATTTTAATTAAAATGACAGAAAGGAAACAATAAGAACGAGATAACATATAAGTTTCAATAAGAATAAAGTACATTAAAAAGACATGTAACTAGACCAATGTTTGAAGAAGGAAAGACATGCATTCGAATTGATCCAAACCTAAAGAATACTATCATAATAGATGGACAGAATCAGTAAGAGTAGAAATTCTTCTCATTTGATAATGTTGCTGGACCAGATACTACATAGGAGGATATCTTTTAAATTATTGGACAATAATAAGCTAATAATTGTTTAGAAGGTATGATTAACTGTAATTTTAGGATACAACGGATGTGTGTTTGTATATGGTTAGACAGGATCAGGTAAAACTTATACGATGACAGGAACATCTCAGTAACCAGGATTATTACCACGTATAATTGATTATCTTTTTGGATGCGTCTTTCAAGACTTAGAAAAAGATTCCTCAGTTGAATACTTGATCAAATGTTCACATCTCGAAATTTATAATGAACACATTATTGATCTTCTTAATCCTGATTTGGGTAATTTACAATTACGAGAGGATCTAAACAAAGGAGTATACGTTGAATTTCTTACTGAAGAATGTTGTGCCAATGTTTTAGAAGCTTTGGAAGTAGTTCAAAGAGGTAATGAAAATAGACATATCTCATCAACTTAAATGAATTTTGAATCATCCCGTTCTCATAGTGTTTTTACTGTGTAATTGGAATCAAGAAGATAAAGTCATTCATTAATAAATCATAGATTTTCTAGATTCCATTTTGTGGATCTAGCAGGTAGTGAAAGATAAAAACATACACAAGTCTAAGGTGAAAGACTTCGTGAAGGTTGTCAAATAAATAGAAGTCTTCATATTTTAGGCAATGTTATTAATTCACTTGTGGAAGATAAAGAATAAAATAGATATGTTCATTATCGTGATTCTAAATTAACATTTTTACTAAAAGATTCTCTTGGAGGTAATTCAAGAACTCATCTAATTGCTAATATACAATAATCAAATTTATTTTATTAAGAAACACTCTCTACACTTTTATTCTCTAAAAGAGTTAAATAAGTTAAAAATAAAGCTAGAGTTAATGAAGATGAAAGTGGATCTTTAGAAAGTCTCAAAAATGAAATCAAAAGATTAAAATAAGAATTAGCAAAATGGATTGTAGGTCTTTAATCTACATCTAAATTAGCAGAATCTCCTTCTAAATAAAACATTAGTAAAAAATTATCATAAATTAGTCATGCATAATATCAATTTTGAAGATCTTAATGCTAATGATCAAAAATACATTAAATTAGAAGAAATACTCAAAGTATATCTTGAACAATCTACTGAAAGTGAAACAGCACTTTTTATAGAAATAGAAAAGTATTTAAGTGGAATCAAAGAATTGAGAGAAGCATTTTAATTAAGCTCTTAATTGGAACAATAACTAAAATTAATAATTAGATTATAAAATGAATAAATTGTTAGATTGAAACATGCTAATGGAGCTGAAGATTTATCAAGTGATTATTAAGAAGAACTTTCCAAAGCTCTTTTAAGTTAAGCTGCAGTGATGAAGAAATTCTCTGATAGTCTTAGAATAAAAGAGGGATCTGCTAAAAATGTAGAAAAAGCTAAATTATAAATAAATGAAAATGTATAATTACTCAATACTATTGTATCAACTGTTAATGTAATTCATAATATTTATTCATTTAGGGATCTTTAGATGAAAGAAAGAAATTACAAAAATAAATATAATAATAATTCTCTTAAATTTATGTACCAGTAGAAGAGTTCAATTAATTGTAGAGTGAACATGAACAAGTTAATGAAAGATTAAATAAATAGGTAGAAAAAGAAGAAAAAATTAAATAATCACTTGATTAAATAGGCATTACACTTCATGTTGAAGATGAAATCAAAATAATAGATCATAAATAAAGAGATTTAAATTTAGATTAATAAAATGAATAATTGGAATTGAAGAGTAGAGCTGTTGAATAATTAAATTAATAATTATAATAAAAAGAAAAAGAAATACAATAAATTTAAGAATAAAATCAAAAGAATATACAAGAAACACAATAATTAAATTTATAAATAGGGAATATATAGCATGAAGTTTAATAATTGTATTAATAACTTTAAACATAATAAAATGAACTAGATTAGGCAAAATAATAAACAGATTCCTTATAAAATACTGTACATTAATAGAGGGTTGAAAATGTTTAATTAAAATTAGAAATATAAGCTTTAAAAACAGATAAAGATAATATCTTATCTTAAAGTAATAAAAAATTAGAAGATTTAAATAATTCTTTATAGTAATAGAAATAATAGAATGAAACATTATTAAGTTAATTAAACAATTCTAAACAAGAATAAAATAATTTAATAAATTAAATTTAATCTAATTTAAATGAACTTAAAGAATAAAATCATTTATTGACTATAGAAAAATAAGATGTTTAATTATAAAATAAAAAATAAGTAGATGATTTATTGAATTAGGTTTAATTCTTGATTAAATTATAAGAGTAAAAAGAATTATAGTATTATAATGAACTTTAAAATAATGTGAAGAATTCTATAATAGAATAAACTAATATTTAAAATGAATATGAGAATCAAATATAAACTATTATAAAATAACATGACTTTTAGATTGAAAAACTGAAAAATTAAAATAAAAGGTAACTTGATTAATTTTCTAATCAATAAGAATAAGAAATTCAAAAATAAATTAATTAATTATAAAATTAAATTAACGAATTGAATAAAGAATTATCATAAAACTAACTGTAACTTGAGAATAACAATATAGAATTTGAGGTATTATTCATCTTATCTTTAGCTTTTAAAAGATAAATAAAAAGAATTAGAATAATTGATTAATTAGAAAAGGATTGATTATGAATAAGAACTTGATAAAAAATTAGCATAATATAAAGAATTAGAATAATAATAAAATATTTAGATACATTAAAAGGATAAATAATTAGAATAATAAAAAAATGATTATGAAAAGATTATACAATAAAAGAATTTAGAATTTGGAGAAATTAAATAAAATTATCTAAAATTGTTTGAAGATAACAAAATTATAATCAAATAATTAGAATAAGAACTTTTAATTAAAAAGGAAGAGTTTAATTAGGCAGTTTAAGAATTAATAACAAAAGAAAAAGAATTTAAAGTACAATTAGCTTAAGTTAATGAAAAACAAAAAGAATTTGAAGATAATTTTTTTGAATTAAGAAGAAGGGATATTCCAGAAAAAGATTCAGTAATTGAACAATTAAGAGCAGATATTGAATAAAAAGAATGTGAATTGTAAATTCAAAATGAAGATTTCATCAATTAATAAAATCTTCTTTTTGAAATGATCAAATAAAAAGATATTGAAATAAAAAAATTAACAGAGGATCTTGATGATCATAGTAATAGATTAGCAGAAGCCTCAAAAGTAATTGATAAGTATTCAAATTGTAATTCTGAATTAAAAGGGACTATAGATTAATTAAATCATTAATTAGAAAAGTAGTAATAAATAATAAATGATATTAAAATTAAAGAGAATACATCAACTTAAATTTATGATGAAAAGATGAAATCACTAAATGAGATTTTATAATTTAAGCAAAATGAAGTCGTAAATTTATAAATGAGATTGGAAGAGGAGAATAAAGTTTATAAATTATAGAATTAATAAAGTACTTAATAAATGAAAACTACTGAAAAAAAAGTCAAAGATTTGGAAAAGGAAAAAAATATTTATTAAGAGGAAATTTAGAAAAAAGAATTTTCGATAAATTAATTGGAATCAAAATTATAGGCTTCAATAAAGGAAAAAGAAACTATGTCTAATTAATTGAAAAATCAAATTAAAGATTTATAACAATAATTGATATCTAGTAATCAAGAAATAGAAGAATAAAAGATTTGGGTAATTCATTATAAATAAGAAGTCGATAAATTAACTAAAGAAGTGTCATTAACTTAATAAATTTCTATATAAAATTAGAGCCAAAAAAATGAAAATGATTAATTGAAATAAGAAAATCAAAAATTAAATAAATTGTTTGATAATAAATAATAATAAATAGTATCCCTTAAGAAAGAGATAGATTAATATAAATAAGAAAAAAATAAATTAATTGACTCTATTTCTTAACAAGAAAATAAAATATTAGAGTTAGAAGAGATTAAATTATAAAAGTAAATGTTATAAGGAAAAGTAAGTGAATTACAGAAAAGTTAGTAAGATATATAGTAAAAATATCAGTCATCATAAGTACAATTACAGAGTTTATAAGATGATTTATAATATTCAAAAAAAGAAATTTAAGAAACTAAATATAAGAATAAGGTCTTAGCATAATAATAATAAAATGAAATAAGTAAATTTAATTAAGAAATTATTTCAATTTAAGAAGAGCTGGAATAAAGCAGAAAGATTTAAATGGAAATAAAGAAATCTGAACAAGAGCAGAGAGAGTAGAATGTGCAAATTAGATAGAATTATGAAAAATTAAAGTTAGAAAATTAATAATTAAATAATTAATTAGATGATATATAATAAGATATCAAAAATGAGAAGGAAGAAATTTTAAAGAAGGATTAAACTATTTACAAATTATCTGATTAAATAAAATACAAAACCTAATAATTAGAAACTCAAAATACATTGATTAATTAGGTAGAATAAAATAAATTAAACTAAACTAATCAAATATTATAATAATCTAATTAATTAACAAATTTATCAAAAGAATTATTTTCTTTAAAGTAACAATTATAAATAAATGATACTTAAAATGAATCCTATAAGAGAGAAATTGAAAGATTAAAAAGAGACTTAGAATTTTAAGGAAAGTAAGTAGAAGATTATAAATAATAAAATAAAAAATTATAATAACAATTAGACTTTGAAAAGAAACATAGCTAAAAATAAAAAATTTATGAAGCATCTGAATTATTAAGTAAAATTGATAATACACTCTCTCCTTTAAAAGGTATTAATGTAATTTTATATTAATTAATTAAAGGGATAACTTCTATATGGTAGTTCAGAAAGTAAGACTTAAAAAAGAATTTTACAACAAAAAACTCCTTAAAAGGAATATGGATTTTAGAATTCAAGTAGTGCTTCTATGCTTAATGCTTCATTTAATTCATAAGATTAATTGGCTTAAGAAAACAGGAAACTTAAATAGAGTTTAGAGTAGAAAATGAAAGTAATTTTATTATTATAATAAAAGATTATTGAATAATTAGAACAAGCATTACTATAAAGTGAATAAACATTGAAGGAAGTCCATGAGAAGGCAAATCAATTTTGTTAACAATAAGAAGATGAAATAAAGCATATCAAAGATTAATATTCAAGACTTGAATAGGAACACAATTCTATATTAGTAATTTCAATCTATATTGTAGGCTGAAAGGGAGTATGAGAATTAGTAGATAAATAAATAAAAGGAACAGGCTTTATTTAAAGTTTAGATTCTATAAGATGAGGTTTTGAAATCAAAGAGAGGATCAGTTGGAAGTTAACATGTTCCAGGTTCAAAATATTCTGACACTGTGTAGGATATGTCAATGAGAGAAACTCCATCATCATCTCATAGATATAGACTTTCAGATGGGTAATTTAAATCATATAATGGTGTTGATGCTCATTAAAAGTTAATTTATGATACTGTAATATCCAAATTTTTATATATAGCAAAAACTATTACTTGAGAATTAAAGGCTACATAGCCAAATGTGCAAATTATATTAGATATTGGGATTAGATAAAAATAGATCAAATAGACTAGAAGATGGTGAAAAGATCATCTAATCGGTTCAATTATTATTATAAGAAATCATTGTATATATAGCTTATTTATTATTAAAGGATTGCAAGTAGGAAATTCAGAATTTGATTTAAGCATAGCCTTAAAGAAACTTAAAGTACTAATCAATGGAGAAAGATTTATTATAAACTAAATAAAAATACTATGCAATAGAAAGGAGTCCTAAATTTTGGAATTCTATTAATGATACTCCAAAAGCCAAATTCTTTAATTACTCAAATTCTTCAGGGAAATGATTTATTGTAATTAATTTTAATCATTTACCCAGATATTCATTTTTTATTTTTTGAACTACTTAAATCCAATTAATAGGTTTTGCTTCTGCATCCTTAAATTTATAGAAAAACTGAGAAGATTCCAAAATCTAAATAATAAATTAAAATATAATACATAATAAATTCCATCTTATGAAATCTTTATTGTATCATCAATAGGAAGATATTTCTTTTCTCCTTTAATAAAATCTATCAATAGACAGGGAGGTTTTAGATACCCAAACAAAATAGCAATTTAAGGAATACAAAACCATCTATTGGTATTTAATTGTATAAATCCAACTGACTTATCAAATTATTTTAAACTTGAAGGTGATTACATCTCATTCTCTAATTTATTTGATGAGTAATTAATTTATTTTTCAAATATTATTGGTGCATTTATATTTTGCGAAATTTTTTGAGTTCTTTTGAAAATATTAGGAACTGGTGTTGCCGTTTCTTCCAATTCTTCCATAATTGTTTTCAATCGATCTTGTCTTCTGCGAATCAATTATTATTTCATTTCTACATTGGTTGATGTAGTTTAATAAATTAAACTTGATTTGCTTTGACTTGGTATTATTTCTTAAAACAGTATCTTACATTAATTTGGAATTTCAATATCATCCAACCATGGTACATAATGCCTTACAGAATCAAAATATTTATGAGTAAGGATTTACTCAGAATCTTCATAACCTAAACGGTTTTAAGGATTCAAAGTTAATAGTGATCTAATTAAATCAGAAACATCTTCTGACAAATTATTATCTAATTCATAATTTAGAGATAAAATGCTATTAAAGACTTCATTTTCACTTTTATTGGAAAAGGGTTATTTCCCATGATAAAACTAAATTAGAAAATCTATTTACTTCATAAATTATGCAACCAAGCGCCCATAAATCAGCCTCTTTTGAGGCTCTACTATTACTTAACATTTCTGGAGATATATATTCGGGAGTTCCAACAAAAGTAGATCGATATTCACTAATTTCATTTTCCATCCTCTTAACTGATTTTACATAATTCTGTTAAAACTTTTTAATTTATTCAATCAATTCAGGAGGTTATCTATGTTCCTCAAAGAAATAACATGTTGCAAAATCAGTTAATCTTAAATTAAAACTTTTATCAATAATTATATTTTTTGGTTTAATATCTAAATGGGCTATCCCTTCCTTATGTAAATATATAATTGCTGTTGCTATTTAATAAATATAAATTTTAATAAGATTTTCGACATCTGAAGATTTATCCTTTTTATATTCCTAATAAATATCCCATACTACATTTCCTAAATCTCCAAAAGGGCAATGTTCACATACAAAATATAAGAACTATTTATCCTAAAAACTCCCTATAAATTCAACCATACCTAACACATAGATCATAACTAACTTGGATGCTTTAATGAATATTATTTCATCATATGTCTTTCAATATAAATTTCTGCTTATTTATTAGACTGTGTAATCGATTCTTTGAATACTTTCTTAATTGCCACTTTTTTATTATTCTTTAAATAAACAGCCTCAAAAACCTCAGAATATGCTCCTATTGTTAAATTAAATCAATAACATACCCTAACCAATCATTCCTATTATATAAAAGTTTTTTATATTCATTTTCTTATCCCTTTTTAATTGGTTCTAGAGCGATACTCCTTTCATAAAATAATTAAATGTATTATTTTTAATATATGTCATCTTCCCCTTAGATTTTACTTTATCATAACAAATGATAAGTCATCAAATCCTAAAAATTCATTAATTTATTTCTAAATATCTAATTCTGATTTTTGATCCATTTATAACAACGAGAATCTTGGATTTCTTAGATCATCTTCTGTCAGATCTAATCCTATTTATTGTATTTTTTAATCTTAACTCATTGACCATTCAACATACTTGCTTTCCACTTCATAATTTATCTTGGTATCAGATTCTATTTTAGGATCTATTAAATATATTCAATATATATACATAAATCATCTATTGGATGAATGGACACTTCAGTTTATTTCTTTGCTTATTCCAATTTAGGAACAGCATCATATTATTCTTATAATTTCTTTTTCAATTCAGCTGATTTCTGTTTCAGTTAAGTAATTAATTTTTTTTCATCCTCTGTTGTTGTAATATCTGTAGTAATTTAAAGATCTTTCATTACATCTTCTATTTTCTCTTTTGGTTATTTGAATTATTAAGGTTCCTCATATTTTTATTATATTTTTTTATTTTATTATTCTTCCTAATTTTATACTGGTTATATGCGTATATCCATTTCATTAGGCTAAGAAAATTCATCGAAAAATAAAGAAAAATCAACTCCTTCAAGACCATCTCTAAGTCCATCTAATTCATTTTCTAATTCATCGGACATTTCTTCTGTTAAAGTTTCTGTATTCACTTCAAAAAATGGGCGATCTTCATTTACTTTTTAATTTAATTTTTCTGCATCTTCATTTGCAAATTATTTATAAACATCAATTATATATTAAGCAGGAGCTATTTATTACTCTTCTTCTTTTTTTTTAAAATCTAATTCTAGATCAATGTCATCAAATGACAAATCCTCATCAAATAATGGGACATCAATTGATTATTATTTTTATTCTGTTTTTTATATTTATTCTTATGTTTAAGTTTTACCAATAATAATTTCAGATTATATTTCATTTACTAATTAATCTTAAACAATATCAACAGATTCAATCACTTCTAGAGTTTCTTATGATGATTATTATTACTACTATTATTATTATTATTATTATTGTTATTGACTAATTATATTTTTATTATATTCAATAAATTCATCATTAAGTTCTTAACTTAATGTGAATTCTTTATATAATACATCCATATCAAGCTCATCTACAGTTTATGGAACTACTTGATATGCTGATTAAATAATAATTTCTTATTAAATTGTGTCTTCGATATTTTGTATATCTACAACATTTACTTAATTCATTTATGTTAATAACTTTTTTTCTTCTAGTTCTTCTAATTTCATTTCTTCATCTACTGCCTAACCTATTATTTCTTAAACTCTTTCCATATGATTTTCTTCTATTTTCAACAATTAATCTGATGCACTCTATTTTTAAGGTTAGAGATATTCAATATCAACAGATTATATAACTTCATCTCCAAAATTCTATTAGATATTGTTTAATCCCACAGTTTCTATTTAGATACTATCAATATCAAGATATTATTCTTCTTCATTTTATACTTTAATTGATTATTCTTGTTCCTTTGATTCAACGGATAATTTACTCACAATATCATCAAAAGATAGTATTTAATTTTCTAAAGGTCTAATCATAATATTGAATTAATATTACAATATGATTGAATCTTCAATATTTTCAACATTAAACTCTAAGTTATTATCTTTCAAAGTAGTTGTAATAATTGATTAATTATGAGCAATTTTATCTTCATCACCAAAAACCAAACATAGACCCATAGCTTTTTGTTAAGTTTGAAAAATAACTTATGAGTCTGTTATAGAACTTAATTTAAAGTAAACATTTTCTTTTTTTGAGAATTTCAATCCTGTAATAAATGCTATTACTTATGAATGTTCAATATTTATTGGAACTTTAATTTAATCTTTTTTTGTTGAGTAATTCTCACAAACAATACTCAAAGAGTTATCATTAATTGCAAGAAAATTGATTTTTATATTATCAATATTGGATGAGCTGATTATCTATAAATCAAATCCTTATCTAAGTAAAACATAGTATATTTACCTTTCAAATTGATATTATTTGTTCTAGTGTAAAGCTCATATTAATCACCAATTATTTATTTTATTGATACGACCACTTTTGGAATTTCATCAAATTCTTAATCAAATTACACATTCTTATTATGTAATATTTTTGTTTACTTTTGTAAATAGTTAATGTGCTTATAAATTTTAGAGATCAAGCATTCCATTACTCTGTTAAATTCCATTAATACAAATGAATAACGTCATTAATATTAATAAGGCCATCTTCATTTTCAATATAAAATTATATAAAACGGATGCTTGTATTTATGAAATGAAAATAAAAATATTTCATTAATTTTCCAATACAATTAAAATCTAAAATACTTATGATAATAAACATTTTTAGAAGGTTGAATAACACTATAAACTTTAACAGATTTATTTGCTTTGTAAAAGAATTTAATTCTTTTCTTTTACTAATATGGTTTAACTAATAATCTAATTTTGCTTTCATTTTATTAAATTATAAATGAATATTAGTATGAATAATTTCATATTATTTTAAATAAAATATGGATTTTCATCATAAAAATAATGAGAAAAATAATAAGTATGGGAATGAAAAATCAAATTATGATCGAAATGAGAAGCATAATGATAGAAATAATGATCGTAATAATGACAGAAATAATGATCGTAACAATGAAAGAAATAATGAAAGAAATGATAGATATGATAATAAAAATGACAGAAAAAGAAAGGATCGTCATTAAAAAAGAAAAAATAGAAAATATTCATCATCTAGCTTATCGAGACCATCATCTTCAGTTTCTGTTTCTGTTTCATAATCAGAATCATCATCAAGTTCTGAAAAAGTGCCTAGATATAGACCCAAAAATCATGATAATATGGTATTATTATTGGAGAATTTACCAGAAGATTTAACAAAATAATAATTAGATAGTGCATTTAATGAAGCAGCTATGGAAGCTAATGTAATTCCTCATGAAGAAATATCTATCATAAATGCATTTGGGTAAGCATATATAAAATATTGTACTGTTGATTATGCAAGAAAAGTTTTAATATATTTAAAAGGTAAAATATAAATAGGTGAACATACTCTTAATGTAGATTTCTATGATGATACTAGTGGTAGATAGAGAAGAGTAATGAATATAATAATAATAATTAGAATAGACATGAATTAAAAAATAGTTTAATTAATTAGCCACCTACAAGTTATGATTGGATATGTGATAAATGTGGATATGAGAATTTTGCAAAAAGACATAAATGCAATAAATGTTTAAATCCAAGAAATATAAATTGTAAAATATTGAGTGTGATGATGGCTCCTCCTACTGGATTTACTGATGATTCAATATGCAATACTAGTTTAATGATAAAAGCAAAAGTATATCTTTCATTATTAAAATTAAGTCCATAGCTGATGCAACAGATAGTGATATATTAGATATATTTGCTCCCCTTGCTGCTGTAAAGGATATAAGATTGGTTAAAAACAAAGTACCTAAGGATCCAAGAATGAAAGAATAAAAGGATTTTGCTTTTGTAGAATTCTTTAGTGTCGAAGATGCAGAGAATGTTTATAGATATGTAACATAAAATGAAGTTAGACTTCATGGAGATTAACTAATAATCTAGTATTCCAGAAATAATAGAGCTTCAAGATATGAAGACCATTCTAAACCATTTGGGTATTATATAATGTTAATATTTAGATTTTATCCAAATAACTAATTTGTTATGTAACCATAAGGACCATTACAACCATAGATTCCATCCTAAATTTAATCATAACTTAATCCATAATAACAACCATAATAATCTTAGGATATTATTCAATAACAGCAATAAACTTAAATGTAAATACCAATGCCAATACAAATGTAAATGCCAATACCTCCTCCTATGCCAATTCATTAAATTCCATAAATTCCATCTATCTAACACAATCAACCACAATAAACTCAACCTATTCCATAATTACCTATCTAAATGCCTGAAGTCTCTATTGTATAGCCAATAGTTTAAGCTCCTTATCAAGCAGCCTAATTAGCTTAAGAGAGAATTATATTGAAATAAGAACAAAAGCTTACTTTATCAACTCCTCCTATGAATTTGATGTCTCAACTTCCATAAAAAATTTTTAATCCAAAGCCTTAATAATAATAATAACCAATTTAATAATCATCTTAATAATAAAAAAAGTAATAAAAAGTTGAGGAGACAGAAGAAGAAGTAAAATCTGATAAAGAGGATGAACAACCATCACCTCCTCTTCCAACAAAAACTATAAATAAAGTGCAACCTCAATTAACAGAAGCCTAAATAAGGAAAAAGGCAGAATTAGAATTAAAGAAATGGGAAAAATAATAACAAACAAAAAAACCAGAGGTTAAAGTACCACCTTCAAAACCTATAATAAATCAAGTAGAGGCTTAAACAAGATTAATTTTATATATTTGTCCAATCTGTAGAAGAAAATTCCCAAGTGAAGAAGTTATGAATTATCATTCTCTAAACTCAGAGATGCATAAGTAAAAATTATTATCAATTTGAATTATATCATTATTCAATAGTTGATTTATTTTCATTGTTTTCTATTTATATCCTTTATTTGTTCAGCTAAATCTAATAACTCTTTTCGAATTTAGGCTTTTTATTTAAAATCTGATTCTTTTTAGGCTTATCTTATCAACTATTCATAACGATCATTCAATTATTTCAATTAATATTCAGTTTCATTATTTCTTGCTGACATAGGAGGTGATAACAATTTCTTTTTAGAATGTTGTTATTATAATACACTTTAATCAACTTGAAAATGTTAATCAGATTTATAGGGAGTTATCTATTTCATGTCTTCTAAACAATCTTTTATTGCTTATTTAAGAGCATTAGATTTAACTAAACTTTATTCAAATCTAGGACTAGACATTTAAGGTTATAAATATTCAAAATTTAATTTAGCAACTTTCTAATTATAATTATTTATCTAATATTAATTTGGATTATATATTGGCATATCTAGATCTTGATCTTCAGAAGATGATACATTTCTCAATCTTTTACGACTAAATTTATTATTTTTCTCTTCATATTCTAGCCTTAATTATAATTATTGATGTTTTAAACTTAAATCTTTTAATTCAATTGTCAATTTATGTATTTTAGATTAATATTCATTACTTTTGTTTAATAATTCTTAAATTCTTCTAGTTAATTAATCTTCTGTCGATTAACGTTAATTCTATATTTCATCCATCATTCTCAAAAATGCTCTTTCCTTTTCTTCCAATTAACCTCTATAAATTTAAATTTATTTTTCATATTCTTGTAATTTAAATATTGGACATTTCTCTTTATAATCTAAATAGTTTGATTCTAATTAGTTTTTCTCATTTTATAATTTTTCATATCTCTTTTCAAGTTTTTTTGTATATGATTATCCTTACTCTAATCTATGCTTTAAATCCAATATCTATTCAATCTATTTTTAGTTCTCTTCTAATTTTTGTTGATCAACCTTCTGTATCAATCCTCTCTCATTTAATTTATACTATTCTAATTACTTTTATAATTGGTCAATTTAACTCTACATTTCTTATCTCTCCTTCTTACCATCCTCTATTTTTTTAATAAGATCTGCAACACGATCTTGGTATTCCTTCAATTATATTAATCTGTCTGATTGCAAAGCTTCGATTTATAAAATATAATTATTAATATTTTCTTTATCATTTTATTGTCTTTATACTTAAATAGATAATGTTTCATTTTAATTTCTAAGTTCTTATATTATCTAAGACAAATTTTCCTCATCGTTAATTTTCATTTTATTACAAGGCTTCAAATCATTTTTTTGTGTTTCCATTAATTTTATTTTTTCTTGAAGTGCCTTCATAGCCATAACATATGCATTTGAAGAACTCTTATAACCAGAATTAGTAGTATTCCTTTATTCTCGTTAAAACATTAATTATTTTTGTTAAAATGATTATAATTAATAAATTAATTCTAATCTCATCAACAAAAGATAAATTTACCATCTCAACATATAAATATGCTACATTTCTTTAATTAACTATTCTTCTAAGAAGTACTCTTATTTTATATAAGTAACTTAATAATATGTAAAAAATTCTATATTTAAAAATTATTAGTGAATATTTCAAATTAAAAAAAAAAATTTATGAATTCATCAAATTAACAAAGATAATATGAATTTTTATTTATTACAAAATTATTGATTAGATTTTTGCATGCATAAAAATATATTATTAAAATTGATGTGATTGTACTATATATAAATTTTCAGATAAAAAATCCAAATCCTGATAAATTATATTTCAATACTTTATTTATGATAAAAAGTAATTTATATGTTGAAAATAAAATAATGAATTTAAATTTCCTTTTTTATGATATAATTTTCAATAATTTTCTAAAATTTTTGAACTATTTTTTTTTCAACTATTAAAGTAAATCATAATTCATAATTTATTTTGTTAATCAATTTGAATAATTAAATTTTTTTTCACTTTTTCAATTAGAGAATAACACAAACAATTTTATTTGTCTACTTATTTAAAAAGCTGACTTTTGTATAATCTTTACAATAAACCAAAATTAAATAATCTTAAATTGAAATGTTAAATAGATAATCAAAATAACTTATTAAAACTAAGATTAATTAAGATATACTTGAATATTTTAATAAATTAAAAATCAAATCTTAATTAGTATGTTTGGCTTATTATAACTTTAATAAATTTCAATTAATTTTATTGTGATATATATTATAACTTATATTAAATTTCATTGGATAAATAAATATGAATTAGAATATATAATAAAATTGAATTTAAGTGAGGGCGGGATGAGAATATATTTAATTAATGGATTTCGAATTCCCCTAATTATTAAACCCTACCGATAACGAGCCTTTTATTCTAGTTTCAGAATCAAAAGACGTGTTAAATAGTAAGTTATTGACAGCTCGACATGTAAGTCAAAGTGTACGTGAAACTGGAGGAAAGTCTGAACTAGTTGTTATTAAAGACTTTTTATAGTAATATAGCTTAAATATATTAATAAAATAGGGATTTGACAAAACAGTCTCCATTAGCCTATGTTCCAGATGCTGAATCATAGACTCTTGTTCAAAATTTTAATTCATAAAAATAAGAATATGAAAGATAAGTTTAAGAACAAGTTAACTCATTTAAATAATTAAATTAAAAGTTATAACAAGGTTATGA